TGGTTCCTTCCTAGATGACCTTGTCTACATTAACCCTGAATATTCAACTCAAGTCCTTCAGTGCCCGTATTGTATGTTGCGTATCTCCCTAGTCTGTGAATAGTGTCTGGGTTTTGTACATAACAGACACTCAATAGCATGCTGAATTGAATTCCCAGCAACCAACAAGATTATGGGTACATAATCCCAATACTCCTCCCAGAGGGGCATATTCAGCCCCGAGAATCTAATCACGTCCTCAGAGAAGCCTATCAATTTGGTCTGGTTGCTTTATTTTGAATCAAAATATGATGAGATTAAGGGAAAGGGGTTCACCCATTGACCCCCTTTGCTATTCCCAAAAGTGTACTCTGCAGCCCAGCAAGTGTTGTTTCCTCCCCAGATGTCTGGAGACAAAGGAATTTCTGCCTTCCCTGAATCAGACAACCTTTTCAAATGGGTGGGGACCATCCATGGAGCAGCTGGCACGGTAAGTGTAGTGGTGGTGACTTTGCTGGGTCTGGGGAGAGGTAGGAGGTGAGATCCAAGTGCCAGGTCTGCTTCAAGTCTTTAGCCTGGCAGGACACTCCCCTGTGTCTGTTCTGCTCTGAGCCTATAGCCTTGGCCTCTCCCTCTGTTCAATAAGAGGGTGGGTTTAAAGCAGGGCTCTCCATCTTAGCTGCCTACAGTGGGCAGAGAGCAAGGAAAAGAATGGAGGACAACTGAGAACTTTGGCCAATGGAAGGGCGCAAGTCGCAAGACGGTAGCTTCCCGTTGCCACACATCTACTTTAAGATAAGACAGAAATCTAGATCCAAGTCCAAAATCTCCTAATTTTTACGTGTTGGCAACTAATAATTTAATTGGACTAAAACACAGCTGTGGGAGCCCTCAGGGTGCCAATTTACAACCCTTAGACCAAAGGATCACTGATGTCTCCCAGATAAGAGAGAAAGCACGAAAACCAGTGGAAGACTTTGTCTTCTGTCAAGTCCCAGACAAACGCAAAGGTCCTGGCAAGCCCCATATGTGGGGCTTGGGTTGGGATATGAGGCTCAGGGTGGGGAAGCTTACTCCCCGCCTCTGCTTCTCCAACACCAGGTGTACGAAGACCTGAGGTATAAGCTCTCCCTGGAGTTCCCCAGCGGCTACCCGTACAACGCGCCCACGGTGAAGTTCCTCACGCCCTGCTACCACCCCAACGTGGACACCCAGGGTAACATCTGCCTAGACATCCTGAAGGACAAGTGGTCCGCCCTGTATGATGTCAGGACCATCCTGCTCTCCATCCAGAGCCTACTAGGAGGTAACTTCTGAGACCGGCCCCTCCTCTGCAACCTGGGAACCTGTCAGGACTCCCCGGGCCAGCCTCTTCTACGCCCTGACCATTTTCCTTTTCTCTCCCCACAGAACCCAACATTGATAGCCCTTTGAACACACATGCTGCTGAGCTCTGGAAAAACCCCACAGGTGGGTCCTTTGTCCTTCTCTGGCACAGGGTGATCCCTCCCCAACCTTCAAAGGCGCCCTCTAACAAAAGGATCCGGGTGACTTGGGAGTGTGTCCTGAGGGCTGGGTTTGGGGGGTTGGGGGGTTGTCAAGCCAGGTAACGCAGTTCTGCCTCTGCCCTGGTGTTTCTGGTCTGCTTGTTTGCTATAAAATCAGAAAATTAACCGTAATGTGGAAAGCATTACTGTAGGTTGAGAGGCTTTTTAAGTACACGTCGAAAAGACTTGTGCAAATGACTTGCCACTAAGTCTTCCCAGTCTCACTGGAAGCAGGGCCCGTCCGGGAGACCTGACCCGGTGAGCAGCAGAGGGGGAGTCTGTTGTGCTGGAACTCCTCTGCCCCGCCCCTCTCCCCCAAACTTCTCCTCCCCTGGTCAAGCTGCCCTCCTGCCCACTTTAACTCCTGTCCCCATCGCTCACCAAGAGTTGCCTGTTCTCTTCCAGCCTTTAAGAAGTACCTGCAAGAAACCTACTCAAAGCAAGTCTCCAGCCAAGAGCCCTGACCCGGGCTGCCCAGCTTCTCCTTGTGTGGTCTTTTCATTTTTTCCTTAGATGTCTGTCTGTCATTTCCCTGATTTCTGTATACAACCCTGTATCTTAAGCTGTGGTGTCATTTTTGTTTTGTTTCTGTTTTTTAAGTTAAGTCTCTGGTTGAGCCCTTGTGATGAATATAGTAAATAAATGCATTTGGTTTGGTTTGGTTTTTTACAAGGTGTCGCCTTGTAGTTGCCCTAGGGTTGGAAGTGCCACGCTTAGCATCTGGGCTCTTGCCCAGGGAGGAGAAGCAGCTGATAGGCTGTAGGGCCGAGCCAGTGAGGTGACTAGAATTTGTTCCCTTGTGACCTTAGTTATTTTATGACTCTGCATCTGTTTCCTTGTCCGTAAGATAGGTGTCACCATAATGCCTATTTCTGTGGAGTTGTGACATGCACCAGGAATGTTAGTGAATATTGGAGCTGCCCCAGCTGTGTTGCAGATGAGGCTGAACCAGACCTTAGGCTGAAACCACTATGGATGTGGAAAGAGAGAGAGTTGGTGGGGGAGGGAGGTCGGGATGAGGAGGTTAGGAAGGGGAGGACCAGCCATCTACTTTCTGACAGTAGATGTTCTGGCCCTGAAAAAGGGGAAAGAAGGCACAGATTCCCCTACAGCAGGCCCAGGGTCTGAGGAGACAGCCAGGGAAAGCCCCTTCCTTGTTGGATCCCTCAGGGCTGAGCTCTTGACTCATTTGTCCAAGGTCCCCCATAGATGGCTCCACACTCCAAGAGGGCACGTTCACCTCCTGGTCCATCTCCACCAGCAATTCCTCCAGTTGCTGCACCCACTGGCCCAGGCCCCCAGCCCCTGGAACCATCTTTCCACTAGCCCCAACCTTTGGGACCCTGGGAGGAAACCCCTGGACTGACCAGCTGGGTCCCAGCCAGGGGAAGAGCAGGCTGAGGTGATGGGCCCAGCTCAGGTCCTGCAGGAAGATCTCCAAGGTGGACAAACAGCACCAGGTGTGCAGAGAGGAGGTTAACTGTTAACAGCCTGGTGAGCAATGCTGGCTGCCCAGGTTATGACACTGAGTGGGCATGGAGAGGAGGGATGCAATGGTAAGGAGATAGGAAGAAAGCAGCAGGGCACAGGACGTAAATTAGAGGGGGAAAATGAGCTCCAGAATTCCTGACTTGGGCCCCATCCCTTAGGGTACCATCCCTAAGACAGGGACACAGGAGAACATGATGGAGGGGAGGGGAGTTATGAGTTCAGGGCAAGGTTATTTTGAAGCACTCAGGACATCCAGGTAGAACCGTCAACAGGTAGATGGTTTCACAGTTAAGAGCCTTGCTCCTGTCTCCACCACAGAGCGATATCATCTAGGTTTTTGTCTGTGTGCCTGGGCGCTTCACCTCACTATACCTTAGTGTCCTCGACTGTAAGATGGAGACAATGACAGCGTCTGCCCCTGGGGTCGTGTGAATGAATGAGACAATGCCTGCATGACATGGGGCACAGCACACAGTGGGCACTCAACAGTGATGATTACTAAACTCCAGCACCGAGTCTGGCTGGAAATACAGTCTGGGAAACATGAATGGGACAAGGAAGGAAGAAGAGATCATGAAGGCGTTGGAGAGGAAGGGCTGTCCCAATGAGGAACAGTAGAGGTCAATGTTTCAAGATGATGATAATGATGCTGATAGCATTTATTAAATGCTGACTATGTGCCTGGCTCTGTTCTAAGCACTTTGCACACATTAACTCTTTCTCACAACCCTGTGAGGTGAGTACTATCACCACCCCCATTTTACAGATTAGGAAACTGAGTGGTTTGTCACCAGCAGTGAGGATTCAAACTCAGGAGCCCGACTCCGAAGCTAAGCCACCGCTGCACTTAGTTAGCTTTGATCTGACACCTGCTATAACTGAGTTGTGTACAAAGAGCCACGGGAGCCAGGAGTGCAGCCACTGGGGGCAAGGATCACAGGAGGAGAAGACGGTATCTATGCTGGCGCCTGGTGTCTTGGAGATGGTATGTGAGCTGGGTTGAAGGATTTGCCAGGCTTATCAGAAGAGAAAGGGCATTGGAAGGAGGGAGAACAGCATGTGCAAAGGCCCAAAGGCTTGAAAGCGCACCCCACATAAAGAGCAGGAATGACAGATTGCCCAATGTGACTGGAGGCTGGGAGGGGATGGGTGGCTGGGAATTGTGGGAAGCGAGTGAGAAAGGGAGGAAAAGGAATTTGGATTTGATTCTAAATGCAATAGGGAGCCTTGAAGGACTTTCAACAGAGGAGTGGCCAGGTCAGATTTCCTCTTAGATCATGCTGATGGCCCTCTGTTGAGCGCATTGGACTGAAGACAGGGCAACCAGGCGTTGATCCAGGGTCCATGAGGTCAGAACCTCCTTTCGGGCTGTGTGCCCCAACCCTCCCCCCCATCGCGAGTACGGAGCACCTATACGTTCTCAGAAGAACAGACCAAGTAGAATAGGTCAAGCAGGAATAATACTGCCTGGGGTAGATGGACCCACTCCCTCCATCCCCAGCCTGGTAGCCAGCGGACAAGACCCAAAGGCTCCAGAAAGCACGGACCGTGGGGCAGGGAAGAGGCCTTACCCCTACCTCCCCCGGGTTCCAGCCTCCTGCCGCCCCCTGACCCTACCCGCCGTCCCAGGCACCCTCCGCGAGCCGCCGATTCACCCTGCCTCGGTTCGAAGCCCCGCGCGGCCTCCCTCCTCCAGCGCCAGGCGCCACCGCAGCCGGTCGGCCGAGGTGCCCACGCCCAGCGCCAGCTGCCGGCAGCCCACCGCGAACCAGCCGAGTGCGTCGAGCGCCGCCTGGCACTCGGTGATCGCGGGGTCCGGCTCCTGGGACCCGGCGCCCTTTCGCAACCCGCTGCTCAGGTCGCCTTTCCTTGGAGGAGGCGGGGGGCGCTCTAGTGGCGCCAGCAGGGCTGGCGCCCTGGACGGCGGCCCAGCCAGGCGACCCCTGAGACCTGCTCCCTCGGGGCTCCCCTCACTCAGGCCAGTCGCTTTGCAATGTTTGCTTTTATTCCTTCTAGACACAGACCCAGAAGGGGTCGCGCCCCCCTCCCGAGGTGGAGAATGGGAGCCGGCGGGGCAGCGCCCCTCACGCCAGGAAGACGCGCAGTCTGGCGGAGGCGAGGGCCGGCTTCTTACTGCACGCCCTCCATCATCTTCAGGAACTCTGCGGGGAGGGGGGGGTGGAGAGACGGTCAGGGGGGTCTCTCGGAACGGACGCGGAGGCCTGTGCCAGGGGCGCAGCGCAGGGGCGAGTGAGACCTGGCCCGGGCTCCAGCCACGCAAAGGTGGTCTTTTGTCACTAAGTGATAAATTACACAACAGGAGCTGCCTGCTCCCCCGCGGGACGTGGGGAGGAACTTGGTCCAGCCCGGCCCGCAAGGCTAAGGACACCGGCGTGGGTGCCGGCGGCACGAGTGCCACGTCCTGGGCGCTCCCGCGTGACTTGGTCCCCGCTCCCCATGCTCCCGCGGCCCTCACCGTCGAAGTCAATGCGGCCATCGTTGTTCTTGTCTCCATCTTTCATCAGGGATTCGAGCTCCTCGTCTGTCACGTGCTCCCCGGAAGCCCTGAAGATCTCAGCCAGCTCCTCGGCATCGATGTAGCCGTCTGCGTTCCTTCGGGGCGGATGGACCGGGCAGGCAGGGGTGAGGTGCCCTGTCCACGCCCGACGCCCTCTTGTGCACCCCCACCCGGAAAGAACGTTCGGGCCCTGCCGGCCAGACTCGGACTACTCGGCGCCTTCCCTGGCTCCCAGACCCCCCGCATGCACCTGTCGAAGATGCGGAAACACTCGGCCAGCTCCTCCTCGCTCTTCCCCTTCGCGTCCTCTTTCATCTGGCGCACCATCATGACCAAGAACTCCTCGAAGTCGATGGTGCCGCTGCCTGAGGGGAGCAGTGGTGAGTGAGCCTGCGCCCTGGACGGCCGCCTCTCCCGGCCATCATCCCACCTCTCCCTCGAGGGCTCCTCGCTCACCGTCCTCATCCACCTCCTCGATGATGGCGTCCAGCTCCTCCTTGGTGGGTGTCTGGCCCAGCATCCTCATCACCGTGCCCAACTCCTTGACGCTGATGTCCCCACCACCATCAGCGTCAAACATGTCAAAGGCGGCCTTGAACTCTGAGAGAGGCAAAGGAGGGCAGAGAGCTGAGGTGAGCCTGGCTGACTGTCAGCCTCACATCTACCCTCCCACCCTGCTCAGACCCCAGACATTCCCCAGCACACAGCTGCCCACATCCAGCCCGCCTGCCCCCACTCACCAGCGATCATCTCCTCGCTGAGGTAGGACCGGGCCTCAGCCTGCTGGTCTGTCTGTAGAAGACAGAGTCAGAAAGCAGAAGGGGCAGCCGCAGAGCATTCTTGTCTTAACCCTGTTCTCTCCATCCCTACTTCTGGGAGTGCCCTGTGGTCCTCCGAAGAACCACTCCACCTTGCCACACCTTCTGTGTGCCCCACAGCACCCCGATTTTGAAGAATTAGGAAACACAGATTACGCCTAAGACCTCTCACTTGCCAATCGGTCAAGTCAGGAACCCCCAGTAACCTTGGGCAAGTCACTTAATGTACATCATCTCTTAGCAGCAGCTTCTCAGGGATGAGAGGAAATCAGGGATGTGAACAGGCTCTATAAAGTGCCAGCACCATTCCAGCGTGACTTTGCAGTTCTCCTGGTTCCTAATGGTGCTCTTTTAATAGGTGCTCAATAAACGTTTGTCCTCAAATAATAATGCAACACAAAGTTATTGCACACCTACTAAGTGTCAAGCCATAGTCTGGGCACTGGGACCCTCAAGAAGAGTCAGGCACGTCATCCCTCCCATCCGAGAACTTGCAGGGACAGAGGTTTTAAGCTTCCTCCTAATGATTCAGTCATTGGAGTAAACATCGCTCATGCTGGGCAGAAGGTGATAGAGGCCTTATGGGGATGAAAATAAGATTTCTATGGGGGTTTCCAGTTCCAACCAAGCCAAGCCATGTGGGTAGGGGGCTTTGGACTGAAGCCAGTGGTAAGGAAGGGCTGAGGCCTCCAAGGAGTGCTTCAGCCAGCTGGCCACTGGTCCTCCTCCTTGTCCTCCTCCCTCCACCCCTCCTCCCCCACTCCTTGCCTGTGCCAGGAGGGCAGGCTATTTTTAGTCCGGCATGGGCAACAGCAGCTGGCCTCCGGGATCTAGTTACTCCTTGAAGTGAAGTGGGGAGGGGAATCTCAGAGGAAAATGACAGCCCCAAATCAGAACCCCTCTCTGGGAGGCTGGAGTCTCTCTAACTCTGGTCTCTCATCTTCTGCCCCTTCTCATCACCCTCGGAGCTCTTGGGGCCCTGCACCTGAGCTAGCTCGAGGCTCTGCAGGCCTCCCATCTTCCAGAGAAGCCATTCTTCTCTCACTGGCAGTAGGAAGGTCTGGCCAGGCTTCTAGCCCATCCCTCCCACTGGTTTGCTGGGTGACTCACTCTGTTCCTTGGGGTCGCCATCTCCACCATGCTAAGGAAGACACAAGCTAAGAGCCCCTCACAGTTCTATGATGGACATTGCTGGAAGTCTCAGAAGGTCTGCAGGGAATCGGCAAGCCTTGAGGATCAATGCCTGGAACATCCCAGCCCTCCCCTTCCAAGAGAAGGTCAAGGCCTTCTTCCCAGGCTTCCTCCAAGACACCTGGGTTGCAGGAACCTTCATGTTCCATCTTCAAATGCCCAAGTTACTGCCCCACAGCACTCCCAGATATGGCCTGAAAGAGGCCCAGAAGTATTGCAACGAGCAAAGGAATGAAGTCCCTTCTTGTCCTTACCATGGTTGCTAGTCCCAGGGACTCCTCTGCTGCAGGTCACCTCCTCTGCTCTCCAGCACCCAAAGATGCCTTGGCTCGCTCCAGCCCCTGGGATTTGTAGGGACACCCTCTCTTCCCACCTCCCTGCTCCCCAGGACTGGATACCCTGGCCAATCAGATCCTGGGGTCAGCAAGCCCCCTCCCAGAGTCCTAGCCTATTACCTAATTTAGCCAAGGGCCCTTGCAGAGAAATTGAAACCTCTGAGCAGGTGGCAGGCCTTGACGTCCCAGATTCTTGTGAGGAGAACCTGCGCTGCTCCACCTCCTTAGCGAGGCCCCCCCACCCCCCGCCAGGAAGCACACTTGCTCCGAGATGGGTCAGGACAATCAGAATAGAGAAAAATGAGGCAGCATAGTGGAAAGGGAAGAGCACAAGCCTAACCCAAAGATCCAAGTGCCAAAACCCAAGATCCAAGTCCTGTCTCTGCAAGCTGTGCAACCTTGGGCAGGTGGCAATGTCACTCTGAGCTTCAGTCTCCTTATCTGTGAGATGGGGATAGTCATAACCTCCCTCACTGAGAAACTGTGGTCAGCGGAGCCCAGGTGTAAGTCACCTATCTTGTACCAGCTACATAGGGTTGGTGCTTGGCAAGTGGAATGTCCTGTCTTGGGACTATGGTAAGAGGCAGTGGACAGGAGGAGGGGAAAGAGACAGCCACAGTTATTGAAGCTCTATGACGTGCCACACACTGTGCTAAGCATTTTAACCACATGATCTCATCTAGGATTCATCCTATGAGGTAGCAACTATTATTATTCCCTTTTTCCTGGGGAGATTTGTAAATCATAAAGATCTATAGTTGTGTTGACGATTCTTATTAATCCTGACTGAGGGGAATTTGGAACAGACAGCCCTCAGGGGACTTGTCCAGAAGGAGAAGTGTTTGAAGGGGTCCAGGAGACAGGGTGTGCATTTCGAGGAGAAATAAACATTGAAAGCAGATTCATGGGGCCAGCCCAGTGGCCGGTCCGCTTCGTGTGCTCCACTTCAGAGGCCCAGGGTTTGTGGGTTCACATCCTGGGCACAGACCTACACACACCGCTCATCAAGCCAAGCCGTAGTGGAATCCTGCATACAAAATAAAGGAAGACTGGCACGGATGTTAGCTCAGCAACAATCTTCCTCAAGCCAAAAAGGGAAGATTGGCAACAGATATTAGGGCCAATCTTCCTCACCAAAAAAAAAAAAAAAGAAAAAGAAAGCAAGCAGATTCTTCTCACAAGCTGCTTAACTTCTCCAGGGAACAGGTGTTTGGGATTCGCTTTTGGGGGGAGGAGAGACCAGGTGAAGGTTCTCTGAGAAGGAAGGGGCAGCTAGCTCCTTGTTAGAGCTTGGTGAAGAAGTCTGGAGGAGCTCAGCTGCCATCGGGACAGTGAAGGGGTGGGAAGATCAAGTCAAGTCTAAAGGGAGCCCAGCCTGAGAGTCCACAGGGTCCAGGCTGGGTGTTGGGGAAGTAGGCAACATTCATGGACATCGGCTAAGTCAACAGTAAGAGCACTAAGATGACTGAGGACAGAGTCTGGGGCCAGTGAAAGGGGGCTGGACACCAAGGAAGGCAGATGGACAGTGGCAACTGGGCTGCCCTCTTCCTCTATATATAGACATTCCCAAGGAAAGCTCAGTGGAGCCCGGCCAGGCTAAATAAGGCCTCCTCCAGCCGGGTGGAGGGCCAAGGCGCGGCGACACCCAGGGGATTCCAATTTGGACACAAACATTGGAACCACTTGATCTCTTTGGAACAGAGAGTGTAGAACTCTCAGCCATCATTCGTTCTTTCATTTATTCAAGGTCCAGACTTAGAGTGGCCACACAAGGTCCATCCCACTGACTCCTCTAGTCCCACTCCCCTTTCCTTTCCCCGTTGCATGCTGCTTTGCTCTGGTTGGACTAAAATACAGCTCCAAACACCACCCTTTGTAGCCGCCAGGAACTCCCATCTTCCCTCTCTTCACCTGCCTACTTCCCTATCAACTTTCTCAGTTTTGGGGGGGGGGGGGTGGGTTTAGGTATGCTTTTTGGTGAGGAAGATTGGCCCTGAGCTAACATCTGTTGCCAATCTTCCTCTTTTTTTTTTTTCTCCCCAAAGCCCCGGCACATAGTTGTGTATCCTCGTTGTAGGTCATTCTAGTTCTTCTATGTGGGATGCCACCACAGCATGGCTTGATGAGCGGTATGTAGGTCCACACCCAAGATCCGAACCAGCGAACTGGGCCACTGGGCCACGGAAGCAGAGCGTGAAAACTTAACCACTCGGTCCTGGGGCTGGCCCCCCTTTCTCAGATTTAACAACACTTCCTCCAGGATCCTCCTCCCCTACACCCAGACCAAAGGAGTCTGAGGTGGTCTCCAGTAGTTTCCTCAACCATAGCACTAAGCATGCCACATGATCTTGATTTGTTCTGAGTTTCACAGACCAGAGACCATATCCTGTTTACCACTGAATTCCACAGCACCCAGCACTCAGCACTCAGCTAGTAAGTGTCCAATAAATATGGTGTTCTTGTAAGAATCACTGAACTGAATGGCATCTGGTTCAGTATAAGGAGGAACTTCCTAACAGTCATGGTTGAACAATAATGGGAACAGGCATCCTCATGAGGTAATGAGCTCCCTGTCACTGAATGTATGCAAGCAGGAATTTGATGACCATCTCTCAGGGAGGCTGTAGGGAGATATCCAGACAAAGTCTAAGAGTAGTGGAAAATACAAGACATCAGGAGATCTCCTAGTTCTGGCCCTGTTTGTATGAGCTAGGGTAAGCCTCTTCCCCTGACTGAGCCTCAGGCTACCCATCTGTAAAATGGAAGTGTGAGACCAGACTTCTGAGAGACCCTTATGCTGTGACAACCCATGGTTTTAGGAACATCTGCTTTGTACCCAGACTTGTGAGGCATATGCCAAAGGACAAGTTAATATTCAGCTAGTGTTTGAGTGAATGTTGAATGAATGAATGAATGAATGGAGTGTTTCTCTTTTGCCCCAACACCCTGCTGGTAAGCTGAATGAAGAGTAGTTAGAGCTTTAAAATTACAGATCTGGCCTTAAATCTCAGCTCCCCTATTTCCTAGCTGTGGATTTTGCAAAAGTCAATAGGCCTGTTTTTTCATCTTGAAAATGGATCATTATTGTTCAACGACACCCTCCTTCCAGGGCTGTTGTGAGGGTGCGATGCGACCCCATTTAAAATGCCTAGAACAGGATGTAGAACACAGTGGAGCTTTAAGAAATGAGAGCCCCACCCCTTCAGCACATGGCGGGGCAGGAAGTGTGTTTTCTGTTCCAAGCTATTTCCCCCACCCCTCTCTCCTGTGCCATTCTAAAAGGGTAGGAGCTACTGACAGAGAGATTTTATTTGTTATATTGTTAACTAGCAATATCTGTCCAGCTAGGGACTGACACCTAGGCCTTCCGACAAAGCGACCATAAATTCTTCTTGACCTACTGCGGCCCTCCAGAGACCTTGCTGAGATTACCAGGCCTGCGGCGTGGGAAAAGAACAAGAGGCAGAGATCAGGAGACCTGGGCTGCAAGGACCCACTCTCAGAAACCTTTGGCAAGCTTTGTGACTTTGGGCAAGTAACTCAGCCTCTCTGAGTCTCAGTTTCAACATTTGCCTACATCCTATGTGTGAGGCTCAAATGAGATTGAACTCTGTATGAGCGAACTCTGAATGAGTGAACGCTGGAGAAACAATAATCGTTATGTAACTGATCAGCCCCCGCAGCCCCCTCTCTGTGCCAGGCACTGGACTAGGATCCTTACAAGAGCTGCAAATTTAATACTAATATTAATTGTTCCTATTTTATATGTGAGAAAACCTAAGCCCAGCGAGGTCACATTCTAACCCAGATCACATATTTTCTGGCCTCAGTTTCCTCATCACAGAGATGGGCTTCCTACCGTCATTTAATGACTTTGGAAAGTTAAAGAGTGCTGGGTGGAAAATGGGGGATAGATTGGGGCCAGCCTGGGTCTCCGAGAGGCGTGGGAGGATTCGCGGGTGGCGTGAGCCCCTCCGGATTGAGGACGACCCCGCAGGAGGCGTGGGGCTCGCCCAGGCCTACCCAGGATTCCCAAGTCCCTTCTGGAGCCAAGGGCCCGGGATTCCTGGGCGGCTCCGGGGAGCGGGCGGGGCCGGAGGCGGGGCGGCGGCAGGAAGCAGCCGGAGCGGCTCTCGGAGCGGCCTGGGCCCTGCAGAGCCCGGCAGAGCCCGGCCGGCCTCAGGAGTACACGGGGGGCTGCACCAGGACTCTTGTGGAGCGGCGCGCCCCTGAGTGCACGGCGGGGCGCAGGAGGTAGAGACGTGCCAGGGGACGAAAGAGACGTGGGAAGGGTCCCAGGCCCCTCCGGGGAAGACTACGGCGCCAAGCACCGCGGGTGAGAGGAGGGCTGCACCAGCTGAATCCCAGAACTCGCAAGACCCCGAACGGGCGGGGGCGGGGCCTCCGCGGCGCCCCTCCCTCCCCAGCTCTAGGCCCCGCCCCTGCTCCTCCCCGCGCTGGGCCGGGGTCTTCCTCCCGTCCCCGCCCGGGACCCAGCGTCGCGCGCTCCCCCCAGGGTGCCATGGCCTCGCGGCTCTTGCACCGGCTGCGGCACGCCTTGGCCGGCGACGGCCCGGAGGAGGAGGCGGCCGGCCCCGAGGCCGAGCAGTTCCCGGAGAGCTCGGAGCTGGAGGACGACGACGCCGAGGGCCTGTCCTCCCGCCTCAGCGGCACCCTCAGCTTCACCAGCGCCGAGGAAGATGAGGAGGACGACGAGGAGGAGGACGAGGAGGCCGGCCCCGACCCGCTGCCCCCCGGGGACGGGGCGTCGGGAGAAGACGCAGGCGAGTGGGGGAGGATGGAGGCGCGAACCCTGGGGGCCGATTAGGCCTCCACCCAGCCGCGTGCAAGAGAGCTTCAGGAGCATCGGGCGCTCTGAGTTGATCCAGCCGAAACTCCAGCACTTGTTTAAGTGCTCCAGCCACCTCTTGGCTATGTGACCTTGAGAGAGTCACAACACCTCTCTGAGCCAAGTTTTCCCTCTTGTCGGATGGGGGAAATCACTCCCACCCCAGGCTTGTTGCGGGCATTCAATGTACAGTCTGGGATACAAATGGTA